AATCAATCAAGTTTTTACAATCAAGGTAATCGACAATGTAATAACTTTAACATGTAAAAACTAATTGCCATGTTTTCCTGATCCCTCCTAATTAAAGATATGACACAGTTCAACAAAAATACTTTTTATATTAGGCGGGTCATTTCATATTGCCCCATCACTTATTGTTGCATACTTGAAAATTTTATAACAAATCATTACCAAGTTAGGAACCTAAAACAGTACAAAGTATATTCTTTGTAATATATATGGGACTCCTAATGCCAAATGGAGGGAGGAGTTATTATCACATCGACTTAAGAGAAAAAAGTTACGCTGACTGAACTTAAGGTAGAGACTAGTTTCAGCTGGACCTACCTCTTCTGGCATCAACGGCAGTTTTGTAATGTGGAAGTCTTCATACAACATGTAGAATTGATCAATATATCTCTCTTGCATTCGCATTCTTGCTTTCAGCAGCTTAGAATCAACAACTATAATCACCAAATTTCAAATGGAGTTAAGCCAATTATCTCAAGTTGCAGAATAAACAAAACCTGATATGTATAGATACAAGAAATAGTACCTTCGTCATCAAATAGAACTTGATTGATGATGATATTGTGAGTATCAATCTCAAACTTTGCAAGTTCCTGCACCAATCTCTCAGTTTCATACAGTGATAAGAACTCAGGAATGCAGACACAAACAAAGGTTGTCATATCCTGCAAAATGAGTGTCAAAAAAATCAAGATAAGCAATAAATTTAAGAATAGGATGAATTTCACAGAAACATCGTTTATAAAAATTTAAAAGCAGGATGAATGCCACTTGTAATAAAGGAAAGCATATTATATCATAACCAACATTATAAAGACAGGTGATTATGTTAACCAATATGGCTTCAAACATTACAACAAAAACTTAAAGCAAAATTCAAGAATGGAAAGAAGATTTTAAACTACAACTGATATAATGTTCTACTGTTTTTAAATTCTCCTAGTGGACCAAAAGTTAGTCAATTGGCAATTTTGTTCCCTGGTTAGTCTGGATTAATTCACAGTTAAAGCTTCTACAAAAAGTCCCACGCAATATAAATTACCAGCGAGATGTCAATAAGAGTAGGGCAACAGGAGCAAACAGACTTACTGGATCCCTGAACTGCTGGTTAACTTGTTCAATTACTTCTTTCATGCCTTCAAGCCTGCCAAGAATTGCATCTTCACCAAAGTCATCTTCAACACCAAAGAGACGAGTCATCTAGCATGAAAATTCACAACAAAACAATTACTTGTGAATAAGGTCTAGTAGCTAGACATCAAGGATCAATGTACTGCATCATTGAAGATCAGTAACCCCTTCCCCCCAACAAAAGAATGTCATAGGAGGCTTGCAATAGCACAGGCCAAGATCTTTATTCAAGTATTCATGCATCACAGGAAATCATTCAGCCATACCTGACTTAATAAGCCCCCAAATTTGTTCTTTAAGGTCATCATTTTTGCCAACCCCTTTTCTAATGTGGAAGGAAATTGCAATAGACGAAGAGTGTGTCCTGTGGGAGCTGTATCAAACACTATGACAGAGTAATCCATGGTTTGAACTAATCTGCAATAACACAGTCAATAATTAGCAAGGGAAATGTCTTGCACAATAAAGCTACCAGAAAAAGGAATTATGAACTGCAATCAAAGCAGATATAATCACTCATCCTTGTACAATGGAGGATGTGCTAAAAGAAAAATGTCTCTTAGCTAGTACTCAATTTTTTGAGAACTGAACTAAAAACTGTGATATATCTGAACAAAGATCACTAATTTGAAATTTCACCCATTTGGCTAAAATGCCTAGCAAGCCAATCATTACTCATACCATTTACCCGCTATGCCCAGGTAAAGATATGGAATCACTTTCTCTATTACAAAAGACACTACAATTGGTTTTCTGATTGGATCCATGAATTTTGTTTTAATTGATTTTCTTTCATAAATGCTTATACACCAGATAGCCCAGTCATTTTTGAATAGTCTAGGATATCATCTTTTTTAAAGAGATGGGATTATTATACATGAAAGCAGCTTTCTAATCCATGATATTAACATCAAAATATGTAAACAAACAGGAAAAGGCACTGCCAACTCCAATTAGATTTCACCTTTTTAGAAAAATTGTCTTTTCATGCTAGCGCCTAGGAGGAAGGGTCAGTTTGAGTGAAGTATCTTTAATCCATAGCAGTGTAATGAATGTCTTAAAGGCTAGATAAAACCTCTCATCTTCACCGACTACGAGCAACAGCACAGAAATGGCTCAATGGCAAGTCAGATCACAAGTGCTAACACAATACCAATGGTGTGACTGAATCCTTGGCTCTCTATGAGCATTCTACACTGCATTTAGAGGTTCAGTGAGAACCCAAGTAATTTGGAAGTAGGCCAAGCACAAATTAGAAATTCAATTGGCGCCCTTGCGGTAACTGACAGCATGTAAACACACCATCCCCCCACCCCCCGCCCCAAAAAATAAAATTATTATCTGAAAAGAACCATGTTCTTTAAATTTTTCTTTACTACAAACAAAATGACAATAACTATACACTGAAAAAAGACCTAGCACAAACGTGAGAGTAGGACAAAATCCTGAGTCCAGTGGTAGACAGAATACTCACTTCAGCATTTCTGCAAAACTCATGGCTTCATCGATTCCAGGAATTGCATTTGCTAGCTCAGATACAAAGTTATCTTGCCCATCAGCAGAAAGATCATCATTCTCTACAGACGGATCCACTTCCTACAGGTAAATGTATGTTGACAACATCAAATTTAAGCAATATACTATAGTATAAGGGAAAGCAAAAATTACAAACAAATATACATCATTTTTCAAAATTAAAGGTCAAATTGATCAATTATTTTGCTTTTTATCATGCATATTAAAACATCAAAATTGTCTCCTCCTTTATGCCTCTTTTCTCATATACATATACCATCATCCCCTTAGGCTATTCTTTTCAGAGATCATAATTTAGTTTCAGCTATTCAACATGCATCACGACATTACTTACAGTAATCCTTTGGTTATATGTGTGATCTTTTTTTCATTTTTTCATTTTCGTTTTCCTCTTTTTTCTTTCAAATGCATCATTATAGACCTCTAGTTTAGAAAGTACAATGACTCCATCCAACTTACTTACCCACAATTTTTCTAAAAAACAATAATTTTACATAATTTACTCATTTATTTTAAAACAAATAAAATTTCAAGGCACCCACATTCTTTAATGGCATCTACATATGATTATCTCACAAACAATTGGCCTGTACCTGTAAGAATTTTTACCAAAAAAAAAATAAATTGAATTCCATGTGTCTGAAATACCATTCTTTTAAACATCCGAAATGTGACATGAGCACTTGCAAACTCTAAAATTACTTCTACAAAAGCAGAGGACACTCTCAGACAGTACATCAGATATGTAACAGCTTTTGAGCATTGGGCAAATACGAGGTTTTGTGTTTTGTGATCAGGCAGTATACAGACAACCCTCCCAACACTCTCAACCTCACACCCTTTAATCCACTTCTTCTGTACTACAAACTTCTTCCCTTAACCAAGTAAATTTCCTTCCTTTTAGTAAGCTAGTGAAATCATATCAGGTTGAAGTCAATGGCTCAACAAGAAAAGAAACCATTTAGTCCCCATTCAAAATAAAAACAAAGAAAACTTCCAACTTGCAATTTTATAGCAAGTGAAATTTTACATGAAAAGGGTGGAAACAACAACTGAAAATACCATCATTTAGAAGACGGTTGATGTCAGCTAGTTTAGATTGTACAGTTTTGGGGGCAATATCTAAGACCTGGGACAGAATACCATCTACAATTGCTGAAAACCAATCAACTAAAATAATCCCAAAAACATGCAATCTCACCCTAATTAAACAAACACAATTTCATTCCTCAACAACTGATGATCTCTCTACTTCATCAAATATCATATTGCATTTTAACCATCACTCCAAAAAAAATCAAAAAATCATTTCAGTTCCCTTAAATTCATATCAAATTACACCCCAAAAAATCCCCATTTTGTAAATTGGCAAATTAAGAACACCCCACAAAATAAAATCAATCAAAGAGCAAGGAAATTACCATGGCAAAGAGATTGGGGAAGCCATTAACAAGAGTAGGAGTCTTGGTAAAACGCTGTTGAAAAGCATCGCTAAGATTGTGGGCAGGATCAGTGGAGATGATAAGAACAGAAGGTCGAACACTTGCAAGAAGAATGGCAAGGATTGAGCTACAAGTTGTCTTCCCAACACCACCTTTGCCTCCTACAAATACCCATTTCAGGCTTTCTTGGTCTAGAATGTTCTGCAATGTTCCTTCTGGCATTTCCTGGGTTGTTTCTTGATCTGACGCCATTGATGAAAGATCCAAGCTTTCTCTCTCCTCAATTTATGGGGTTGATTTTTCTGGGTTAGATTTGAAATAAGAAGAAATACAGGAAATTGATGGGTTTTTTGGAAACGATATTGCTGAATCGTGAATTTGCTTGTTTTTATGGATATTTGCAATAAAATTACCTTTTCTCCCCTCAGTTGTTTCTTCTTTGGTTCTTCCTGGATTTATTTTCTTACTTTTTTTTTTTTTTTTTTTGTAATACTTTACTTCCTTAGATTTCCACTATTTCATTCGGGGTGAATCTAAGGTGCAATGTGGGAATGAGAAATTCTTATATGCGTATTTAAAAATTAATAGTATTTAATTTAATTTACTTTAATCGGTTTTAAATAATTACTATTCTGTATAATTTTTTTTTGAGAGGTTGTGTATAAGTTTAAGCGACTTTAAATAGTTAAATTTTTTTTAATGAAAAAGTGACTTCATAATAATCAAGGTAGTTACGTCAATCTAACGAACTGTCACAAAAATAGAGGGGAAAAGAGTGAAATATGAGATGGATATTGCAGTTCTTGAGTATTTAAACCCATATTATAACTTTTGTATCATGAATTTTGTTACCAATGGGATAAGAAATGCTCTCATTTTCACCCAATTCTCGCAAACTTGTATAAAACACCCTCCTGGCCTCCTCAACATCTTGTTCAATAAGCTTTTTGCTAGTTTGTTATGGAGCAAATGACAATTGTTTGATGAACAATTTAAATTTGAAAAAGACTCCTCATTATATAGAAATTTAGAAAAGAAATAAACTTCTGATGAGGTGAAAAAAAAAAAAAAATCTCTTAGCATGAGTCACATATTGTGTCATACTCTGAAGATAAACTTTTTATTCATTAATACATACGAGTATTACATAGTACATATTGTATATTTGTTACTGAGAATAGTGTAAAATTAAAGGCACATATGATTAAGGATTAATATGGCCTGAGAGCACACTGAGCAGCAATATGACCCCACAATCTTCTGCGTGGCCCTTTCATGCGACCAAAAGAGTTCTTTTTCAGCCTATGAAAGGATATCATGTAATTTTACACCCGAATGTAGGATAGATATTATCAATACTTTTAGCATATGCTGGCTTGGAGTATACAACAATCAGATCTAATCCACATGTTAAGCCTCCCGCAGAATGACAATAACCTGCATTGCTGAAGAATTCTGCTGGTTGATTCATTAGCACAGTGCTTCCCGGAGAATATCAATTGTGAGTTCCTGAGTGCAGAGTGTTGCCTTACACCTTGCTGTCATGACTAAATAAGCAAGTACAGAAGTATTTTCAACAGTCTGTAAGTGTCCATTGCTGACACATTTAGTTGAGGCAATGAGGAGCAGGAAACATATGTTAAAAAGGAATATAGCCGGCATTTGGAAAGCTTGTCACGGGCTTTTACTCCCTAATTATCGATGACCCTATCAGCTGTACAATTTCCTTGCAAACATGAGGAGGTTAAACTTTCTTTTGGGACTCAGTACATAGAATTATATGTGAAGCAGGTAGCTATGATTGAGGAGATGCAAATCAGAAGAGAAGGAAAGAGAGTAAGATTCAAAAGCTTGCTTTCACCCCATAACCCAGCCAGAGTTATCGTACCATCAGCAACTACTCGAGCTAGGGTCCCTGCTTCTGTAGAAAGCAGTCCACCATTGTAGGTCCCACGAGCTAACCTCGATGACATAACTCGAGACAAAAGTGATAGATTGACACCTGCAAGCATTTATCAAGTACTTTAACGAATGAAGTAAATAGAGCTATGGCAATCTATAGACACATAATATACACAATGCAAGAGAAAAACAGTACTATGCATATAGCTAGTTGATTAGAGAGATTTAGAGGGCTGAGAAAAAATTGCTATTTGCACTATTCTGACTTCCCTAATCACATTTTCATCAAATTTTCCAAGGAAAAATGTGGATGAAATGCAGGAAAAAAAGGGGGGGGGGGAACATTAAGGAAAATAAGAACTACCTTCGAGTACTTCAGCAGATACAAATGTGAGGATTGCTGAGATGACATACTGTGGAACTGTATAAGGTATTCCAACCTTGAAGCTTAGGACAATGCCTATGCAAACAATGATCTCGGATGTCAACAAAACTTGCCTGCATCAAGTAGTCCACATGAATCACTTTAGAGCAGTAGTACATAAGTATATCACCCTTGAATATCAAGGGATCACAATGCTTTGAGTAATTGATATAGAAGATTTATCAGATATGATTGTGCCATGTGGCTATTATTTATACCCTTATGTAATAATGTACTCAAGAAAGTGTGACACGAGCTTACCAAATTACAAGCATACTTTTTAGTCTTTGCCATTATAGTAAATTAGTCAAACTTTGAAAAGTCTCAAGGAGAATATCACAACAGGCACTCGAGAGTTGGAAGTAAGAACACAGCGTAAAAAGAATGAACTTAAAAGACAATTTGATACTCTCTACTCATATTATGCAACTGATTTTAACTTTGTAGGAATTACTGAATTTCGTCCAGTCAAACTAGCAAAACAGCTAGGTCCATATATCTTGACGTGATTCCTAATCATAATCAAGGGACAGGACAGCCACCAGTGAGCTGAGGAAGAAATAACAATTAACATTGTAGGTTTCAGTTGATGTTTACCTTTCCTCAAACATATTGCTGATGTAGTTTCCAACTAGAACATTGACTGGGAGAACTGTTAGCCCAAGACATGCAAGAAAAAGTGCCACATATTGGGTAGACCACATAAAGTAGTATCCTGTTATGATGCTTGATTCTGCTAGTAGTATCTCCATTGCATATTTGAGCATGAAATAAATCAGTAGTTGAGCCTGATAATAGGCAAAAGGACAATAGTTTAGAAATCTGTCATTGCAACCAAAGAATAGAACTACTAGAGAAACTATTAAGGCAGCATACAAATTCCAGCTGATTTGTTTAGCCACACAAACAGTTATTTATTAATAATAATTTTATAAATAATCATCCATTCATATTTCCTTAAAGAGTTGCTTCATTAAGTAGTGAAGAAAACAATATGGAAAGAGGAAGAACCACAGATAATCTTTCACTTACTGAATATACCTATGCGTAAAATAACAGTATACATAATGCTATGAGACTGTCCTATAGACAAAATCTATGCAACACAGCTTGAAAGATGTTGTTTTAACTCTGTCCGTCTTAAGATCCATCCTTGGGGATACAAGCCCTGGTATATTGGTAATGACTCCAAGGGCCGTATAGTTTTACACTATTGGTAAGGTATTGTCCTAAGCTTATGCATGAGTAACTATTCCTTGATAGTTAAAAAAAGAGGGAAACCAATTTACAAAAATAAATAAACTGAACTCCGATCCATACCTTGACTGAAGGTGTCAGTAGTCTATAAGCTGCTACAATTGAGGTAGCAGGTTTATGGCTTTCATCAGAATCTTCATCACATTGGTCAAAGTCTTGACCTTCTTCGTCATCATCATCCTGTAGTTTTTCCTCTGAGCTTTTAAGCAATGGTTGCTCCAAACCATTCTCCATTGCGTTATGTGTCCTGTTTCCTTTTGTATCATACCAGGTACAGAGAATTAGACAATAGCAAGACAAAAAGAGATACTGAACACATAAACAATATGACACGAGGCAAAATAAAACCTTCCTCTAATAGGTCAGTAAAAGAGGGTTTATAAGATTGGTTTTTTTTAGGACAGCTTGCACTTGGTAATCAGACAGTATATTTAGTTATTCACACTTATCCAAGGTACTTTAACGTGCAAAAATGTTTTGATTTTCTATATTATACTTGTAAAATAAAGAAAAGAAAGAGTTATGATTTTCACATATGAGCCTCTAAGGTTGCTAGAGAGCTCAAGGTATTCCACTACAACTCATTCTCAGAAATTCGGGATGTCAAAATTAGCATCCTAGACTTTGCACTGTTTTTTCCCCTATCCAGAATAAGTCCCCTGTACATGCATGACTTAAGACTTTCCTCAATCATAGAGCTAAAAAGGATAATACAGCTTGTGGTTTAGTTGGCAAAAATGCGTACCAACCTTCAGTTTTCACATACTAGTATACTACCATGAGATAGCTAAGGGATTCAAGGAGGATATATTTGAGTTTCCAATATTTTCCATCAAAGTCTTCTTGGTCTTTTTTGTTCCTTAAGTATCTCATCCCATACAGTAGGTACAGAGGCAAAACATAAGCAGTGATTAAGTAAAAAAAAATATGCAGCAACAGGCTATTCATAGTAGCAATGGATCCATTACTTACCACGATTCGATTCCTGAGGTACAATGTTGCATTCAGGCTGGGGAGGTTCTTTAAATGATATGCAAAGACACAATAGGTAAACAAGCCATGCCAGCGCCATAAACCATCCAGGTAAAGTGTCATCATTGAATGTTAGTTTGAACAATTTGAATTTGGCTTGGAATAAACAAGCAAGAGCAGGACCACAAGCCATTCCAAGTGCACTGGCAGTAACAAAACCTGCAGATGCCTTCATTCGTAATTTTGGTGGCACACAATCACTAATGTAACGCCTATTTACAGCCCTAGCAGAACCCAACCTGAATTAATGACATCCGAATTCCAAGAATGAGATCCCTTTCAAAATCAAAGCAATGTATATATGTAATAAAGAGGTTTTAAACAAGTTGAACTAGATTTTAGTGTATGACCTACTGAAATGCAAAAGGTTCGACTTGCAAACGTCACAGTCTCCATCCAATACCAACAGAGAGCTAGATTCAATTAATACCTAGAAGATTAGCATGAAGAGTTTCCATTGAGAAATTTAGGCATCTAAATTTCTTCCATAGTTCCATTAGGTTCCCTATTTCTGTTGTTTACGTTATAAAGCTCAAACCCCCTTAGTTTCCTGGCCCTTGTTTCATTTTCATCCTAAATATGCATGAACTCACTAAGTGGCTCAAACCAAGGACAGTTATTTTGTTTAAAAAGAGCACCAAAATTCTCAAAGAGCAAAGCTACCTAGGACATGATGAATAATATAAAAACATGTATCTGAGGAAACATGGATCTTAAGTAAAAGAAAAACAGGTGTATAGAATTTTCTACAAGTATTAAAAATACAAAATGATAGTAAAGGTTAAAATTTATTACCCACAGAAGACACGGCCAATGAGAAGTATTGATATGGAGTCAAGGTCATATGCCAGTGCATACAGGACATTTCCAACAAGGAGAAGAACACTGCTAAACACAAGGGGTTTCTTATATGATTTATTTGACCATGCACTGAGGTAGACAGAAGAGAACATTTGGGCAACAGCCATTGATCCAATCACTGCCCCACAAACAGTTGCTGCAGCACCAAGGCTTAGAGAATAACTATCGGCTGTGGGGACAATAATGTATGTATTGACCATGTATAGGAATGTGTTCATCAAGTTTAACATAAGGGACATTAAATCAAATGCCTGATCATCAACATCATCCTGAGATGGGCTTGGTAGATCTTCTTGCATTATCATAGCATGTTTCCCCATGAAATTAAGGAAATTTGTTGAATTTGTCAGCCTATCTACAGCTGCTCGAATGGAAGTCACAACAGGATCCTGCAAACAATACACTATTATAGTCAAGAAATGCCACATTGCATCTCTGTTCAGAAAATTTTAGAGAAGGTTCAGCTGATAAATTATGTTTCTCCTTGAAGAACTAAGATATGAGAATATCTGGTAATTTAGCATGATATGAAGCAGCAGCACTAATAATACGAAGTAATTGTATAAGTGAGACCTGGAGATGAAGAATTGGTTGGTCATATATTGATACATAGCTTCCTTCGTTGTCCTGAAGATCTGCAAGATTGCGGGATATGGCTCCCACAACAGCCCCAAAACCCTGCATGTTCAGCAAAATAGAAGGTTACTAGTGAAACAACATCAAGGGAGCGCATGATTTCCCTTCAGTCTCAGAAAGTCAATCTTGTAATGGTATCACAAGAAGGAAATGATAATCATGATTCTTGATAAGTCATCAAATCTGCTCATCATAAGCATACTCCCAAGTCCATGATACAAATTTCTATAAGACGCCAGTAATCCCTCTGAGAATAAGAAGTACATGTGAATTTAGATATATTATCCACCAAATTTCAAGATCGAGATCACAAAAGTATCAACTATCAAGGATCCTTCATGCCTTAAATTGCAATGTGAAAACAAATACAAGCAAAAATGAAGCCAATTAAGAAAGGCCAAGTGCAATTTGTCATTTTATGAGCAGAACTCAGGGTATTACCACATGCTTGAATATTTGTTGCAGCTGTGAATAAGGATGATTAGCTCGAGTTTTGACATAATAATTGGTGAAGCCATAGCCCAAGCGTTTATCAAATTTTTTTAAGATCTTCCGCAAACCTATAGCATTCATTTCAACAAAGAAGAGAAGCCTCAACAGGTCTTGTCCCACAGCACGATATGCTTCACGTACTTCAGACACATCAAGAATGGTTCCCTGCTGAAATGCAGTATCTTGCTGTTCCCTGAGAGCAGACAACCTCTTTGCAAGTAGCCCTTGTTGCTCTAGCATGAACAAGACAATCTTCTCAAGCTGTTTACATGTAAGGGAATATCAACATTAAGCACTTGACCTCCTCAAGCCAAACAATGACCAAAAAGTTCATCAAGATTCCAAAAGTATAATGTAATTCCAGTGTTAAGGCAGCGTAAGATGCAACAGAAGCATATTTGCAGCTTCACCCATAAAGCAAAGGAAATAACAAGCAAATGGCCTCTGAGTGATTAAAGATATATCTTGGCCTCTTCTAGGCATGGGCTTTATGCAAGCGAATTAAGCATTAGACGAGATCACTATAATATATCATCATTAAGCATGTAAGCCATGTTTTACAACCAGCTTCACATATAATAATTTCATATAATAACCCATTCTTTCTATTTCTTGAAAGCATTAATAAAGTGCTTTGTTTAGTTTCTCATAATGTAACAACTTCAGTTGTCAGAATAAGTCTCATACATCATCTGCATTAATTTGATCAAGTAGTAGGCCTAGAAAGGTACGATCAGAAGTTCAATACTGTCCATGCCAGCCCAAACCCAAAAGTATGATCAGAAGTTCAGAACAAACCATCCAGATAAAGGGTCTCTATACTAAAGTGTGCAACAAACAATATATCTGTTTGTAATACCTGATTATCCAGCATAAACGAAAAATCCTTCAGAACAAGAAGATGATCACCCGAGCCATTCTCAATTTGTCGAGAATATTGATTGACCTTCTTCTTTAGAAACTTGTAGTTAATATAGTACCTTAATGTAAACAAGAATAAAAACAAAAAATAAGTCCAGTAACTACCATAGAGGCTTAAATCAACTGTGTAACCGCGACAAGGTACAGGAAACTGTAAGCCGGAAGGAAAGCATATAACACATGTTTTTTGCAAGGAAACCACTAGAATATATCTTCTGTTATCACCCACCACAAATGTCTACGTCTAAATTTCTCAGTACAACGACCGACTCGTTCAATATGCAATAATTTCCATTAACCCAACCACCAGATTGATTTTTTTCACCCCACCTTACAACAATCACAAAACATGAATTCAGCATGCTACATAAATAACAACCCCACCCCCTCCAAAATTAACTTTTTTAATAATGGCTATTGTTCTTACTTTTTAGTCAATTAATCTAATAGAACATAACAAAATCACATATATTACAGTATAAACATAAAATTAAAATACACATTAATCTAACTATTAAGCAAAATATGAATAAAAAATTACCCCTGCCATTCTTCAATTTGAGTTTCTTTTAGCTTTTTCCCAAAGGCCACCATCCTGGGAAGCTTATTACACTACCATGAAAAAAAAAAAAAAAAAAAAAAAAAACATCATAAGTTAATAAAATGCAGAAAATCTAATTTATTCATATTTACTTCTTATATAACTACAAACAATTTTATTCCCATTACAAATATATATTACCGGATTTACCAGCTACCAAAGGGGAAGAGATTGTTATATACACCCGGGTATACCATACAGCCACGAGTATTTTGTTAACTAACCTTGCATTAGTTGGGTGTACGGTGCACCCCGAATGTATAAAACAAATTCCACCAAACGGGCCGTGAAGACCGAAAAGGCGAAAACTATGTTCATTAATTCAAATACCATTCATCTCTACTAAGACTACTATGTATGATATTTCCATTACTGTAATACTTCTAAATAAGTGATCACCATTGATAAATACAGAGTTATAATCTGACACTGTTTTTTTTTTTTTCTTGTTTTTTTAAGGACACAAAAATCCAAAACAAAAATAAAGTTTGTTTGCATTTTGTGATTCTGACAAGCGGTGTTCATTTCACGTAAATACACACAATATCTGATTTCATTTCATCCATTAAATTTCATAATCAAACAAAAATAACCCTAGAATAATACCAACATTTGTTCAAACATTTTTAAATAAAAATATTACGAAAATGCATTATTTTCCATTTTTCCATTAATAAAAATAAAACATGAAACTATTCATGAATTAAATTTTAAAAAAATTCAAAATAAGAGAAAAAGAGAACCTTAAAGCGGCAGAAAAATCAAGGATGTTGTAGAGCAGTATACTGAAATTTAGGATAATTTGGACATTTTTTGAAAGAAATTAAGCAAGAAAGAGTGATTAAATTAGGGAGTAATTAAGCTAAATGAGGAATAATAATGGTTGAGGTTGAGGAGAGAGAAAAATGAGTATGGCTGGAGAAGAAGGAAGGAAAGAGAGTGAGTGAGTGAGTGAGTGAGTGAGTGAGTGATTTTGAGGGAAGTGCTCGCGCCTATTAACGTTTGTTGTTGTACTCTGCTTCCTTTCTTACGAACTATTTATTTAAACCCGATTTTAATTTTATTTTTTTATTGAAAATCTAATTTTTATATTTTGATAAGGTTAGGGAGAATTAGAAAACATATACTTCCTCCATTTTTTTTTTGTTGTTACACTTTTATTTTCACGGTCTCTTAAATGATTTTTTAAAAGAATAAAGATAGAGAAAAAAATAAAAAAAAGTATTTGCTGTAAAAGTTAAAGTTTTATGTATACTCGGGAGTAAGCTATATCAATTTTTTTAATTTTTTTTCATTTGATGATTAAATGAGTAATAACCACCCTCATTCAACATCGCATTAAGCAAAACATATCTTGGAAGTATTATATACTTGGGGAGTTAGGGTATATATAACAACCTTTGCGTATTTTCGAGTAGGAGCTTGACACAAATTAACTCAAATCGGGTTAGCGAACTGGATTTTTTAGGTGTGAAGAGAAGAATGATGGAATTTCCACCCCTACTCTCCAAAAGTGTTGCTATTAAGGATTAATTTCACATGCTCTAAATTGTATTCCGTAAGATACAGTAGTTATCATTCGTACTTTGCACTTATTCATTACGGAGTACTTGATGTTTTCATGTTTTGTGATAGTAATTGGTTGTGCAGTCTTTGTCAAAAAAAAAATTAAAATAAGAATTCGGTCCTGTTTTGATTTATGGAACTGATTGGAGCTAAGTTGAAGTGAACTGTTTATATGAGAGAATGAAATTAGAAACTGAGCTGGACTGAAATTAAGTTGAAGAAAACAATATATTATTACTATCCCATGTTATTTAGAAAAATATATGCTCATTTTTTATTGATATAAAAAAGGTTTTGATGCTCTTAGTGTGAGCTAATAAAGTCTTGATATGCTCTCCTATTAAATATATATATATATACATATATATATATATATATATATATAAAATAAAATAAAATTTTAAAAGTGGCAAGTTGCATCAATCTTTATTTAATGTCTATGTGTCACCATCACCAAAGTGGTACATGGCACTTTCGTAATAACGATTTGGATAATTGGTCTTGATTGTGGTAGTAACGGTACGTACCCTATTTCGATCAATTTCTTGATTAAATAGCCCAAATCTTAACACGGTACAGAGTATGTAAGAACAAATATAATTATGTAGACTCTTTATTAAAATTTGATGTTTTTTTTCATTCAAAATATTTTCTATATTCCATTACTTTTAAATATTAAGAAATTAAAGATAATGAATCAAAGATGTATATTAAAATATGTAATAAAAAGGCTAGTGACTATATATTAAAATTACATATGCTATGTATGAATAAAAATAGAGAGTATCATTTTGGGATTACTTTTATAGTTTTATCCAACTATATAACTTTTTTTTTTAAATGGTGCTCTTATGATGGTGCCCTTCTAACTTTTTGAAAAAAAAATAATGGTGCCCTAAATTTTTTAAATATACGTAGTATTAACTTTTTTGAATGTATTGATTTGCTCCTATAACCCACGAGAATTGTGAAATGGAAAGGCAAAGCAAAAAGAAGGACTAATCTCTTCTCTCTCTCTCTTTATTTTTTTTTATTTATTATTTTTTTTTTTTTTTGAGGAAAATTATATTTAACATTTACTTCGTGCTATATTTTCATTTTTCAATTAGAGTTTACGTGATAAAATATACAAGTATATGTATATTTAGTATCTTACTTCCCAAATTAAGTAATTTTTTTTTTTTTTTTTTTTTTTTTTTGTTTTTTAGGGGAAGAGTATAATACTACTTAATGTGAGGAATTAGCACAACGTGATAAATAATAACAGAAAAATAGCAATTGGATTTTGACAATATGGTTTTGTCGATTCATCTTCAATTGATAATTTTTTATAGGTATAAGAGTTGTTATAAATGTCTAGAATATCTCGATTTACAACCTGCATTTTTCTAATTGTACGTAGTATACTAATTTTACTAAAATTAGATATGGTTTTGCTTACGAAATAAAGATAGGGGGATTTGACATTGTAACATCATTATATGTGTGAATTTTGTTGGCATCAACCACTGGTAAGTTGTTAATTTTTTTTTTTCTTCTTCTCTCTTGTTGTTTACTCGATCGAGTACTCTCCATTTGTATAACGTAAAAAGTTTTGTTAATTAGTCATTAAACACCATATCACTTGGTTGCGTAAATTCAGAGTACCCGCGACCATGACTTCACAGACAACTCGGTCAATTTATATACTACAAGTTTATAATACACTCGTCGTATACAAGCATATGCTACTTAATATGCTCGTACTATTTTAAACATGTAAAACATATGTCCACACATATTCTCACTCGAATTTTCATTAATTCCATGTTAGGTAATTTTGTTGTATTCCCCGTTAAAAGACACTAAACAATCGTTTTCTAGCTAATTGCTAAGCTTGTCAATCACTCAATCGGATTAGTTAATAATATGTAATAGTAGTATGTAAAATAAGTAATAAGATATGATGGATCTAAGGAAGCCAAGAGATTCGTGACATGGACCACCAGAATCTAACAGCATATTCGGGTTAGATCCTTTATACGTGGCTTATTTTCATGGCTCAGACTCCAGACTCCAAGGGATCCCCTTTGCCTATGTTCATGGTTGTTAATTGTTATTGCCTCGTGATTGTTTTAGGGTCACTCTTTATGTTTAGGGCATCATAATATTCTTAGAATCCTAGTTTACTATTCCAACAGCATATACTGTTTAGGGTAATCACCGTCGCGGCAAATCGTCCTCAAGTAAATTAATTAGGTCGTATTATGTTCACGTTATAACTTTTACTTTAAAATAAGTTCAATAACGTAGTTACAGTGTTCCACCAAATATAAGTTATGATAATTAGAGTTATCTAATTAAGCTCAATTACAACTAAAATAATAAGTTCAAGTTAGTTCAAATAAGCCCATATAAAGTACATAGAAGTTTTTTTTTTTTTTTTTTTTTTGACAACAGGTACATAGAAGTTATGTTTTAAAGAACACTCCTATTTTTGGCCTTATTTTGTGTGGCTATAAAGACCACTCCTATTTTTGGCCTTTTGTTGCCTACTCAGTAAACAAATTAAATCTTTTGTTGCCTACTCAATAAACATTCCTAATTGTTTAGATTTTAACTCATAACTCTAACCTAGTTACCGAGTTACTCGACAAAAAATGCACTTAGATAAAAAAATTATTTAAATTTATAATTCCTTTAAATAAAAGAACAGAGAAAAAGTAATTACAACATTTCAAATGTTGTAATTAACAACTTAAGTTAATTATAAAAGCTTGAAATATTGTAATTAACAACTTAGTTAATTATAAAAGCTTGACATCAATTAAATATGAAGAATAAAGAGAGCACTTACATAATTTAAATAAATTTTGCAAGATGAATTTAGATATTAATAAAACTCGTAAACCTCCAGTCGACTCAGCTACGTAGAAAGATGACCTTTGGTGACTTGAAAAGCCTTTTAAATGTGACTAAGGCCTTTATGTAAGAGAATCACCAAGCCACTAACTAAAACACAAGGCTACTACCCTCACAAATGAGGAAAATGACACTAGATACTTTGTTCTTAAACTTGCTATGTTTTGTTGAATACAGTAAACCACATCATAAATAAATACAAACAAGGCATGCATGCATGCATGCATATGGTTTTAATATATTCTCATGGATTTTATTCTTATTTTTTAGCCAGTTGCCACACAATGAGGTGTTTTTTGTGTCACAATGTGGACACTTTATCCTTATATTGTTTGGAAGAACATTTTTCAGTTATTTCAAAGTAGTACAAGGGGTGAATTCATGAGATTCGATTAATATATGTGGACACTTTAAAGATTGTGAAGGACTATTTGCTCTTGTATCATGTTTAGTTTAGGATTAAAGATCTGTTTTGTGTTTGGATGTATAAAATCTCCCGTGAAGACAAATATGAGAGTCGTCAAGAATATTGCAAGACAGCTAGTCATGTCATAATTTTAAATTATTCGTATAACACGTACTATTCAATGTTTTCATTTTCTAGATGTAACTTAATAAAAGGAGACGTGCATGATTAGAATCGTCAAAATAATATTGAGATTCACATACACAAAGTCACATTATTTGTTTAAAGTACATTATGAACAAAATTATTAGTCTCAGACAAAAAGAGTGCTCGAAGAAACTTGAATGATTTACACATACTAGACATAAAAAAACAAATGCTATATTATATAAAATGTTGTTTGAATTATCATCTCTTTAATACTTCCAAGGTTTTGACATATTTACACTTGAATTAATTCATAAAATCAAAAAGAAGAAAATAAACATAGTAATTTATGTTGTAACTTAGCTTAAAAAAAACTGTCATTTTCTTCATCTCCCCCACAAATAATATCCTTCATCAGATCATAATATAAAATGACAACTAATGAAAAAAAAAATTAAAGATTTTATCCTTAAAAAAAGAAGACCATAAAATCATCCAAAAGAGCAGTTATTTGTACTATTATTTGATATCTGCTTTTTGAATATTTTAATAGCTTCGAATGACCAAAATTAGCATATATTTATAATACATAAAGTATTAAGACTAGAATAGACCCGTTCTACAATAACTTATTGTAGATCCAACCTTCTGGTATACCATACGAATGTGATTATATCATATGAAATGTGATTATATTATTACAAAAGTGATTATATCATCTTGAAACTATTATGTAAATGTATCACTCAAAAAGTGAATTTATCATTATAAAAAGTATCAAATAGTAAATTACATCATTCAAAAGATGATTTTTAAATTTTATCATCCTAAAAATAATTATATAATCTCATTAAATGGTTTAATATGAGATCAAAATATGACTCACAAAAAGATAATTATATCATCCAGAATATGATTATATTATTTGAAAGTGTCAAATTTTGGGTCTACAATAATTTATTGTAGACTGGGTCCATACAAGACCAATTATACATAAAGTGCGCAACCCACATCAGGAAAGATCATCATCCACTACTTTTAACTTGCCAATTTCATGCATATCCACATTATTCTTTTAATCAAAGTCTTAATCTTAATTATATCAGGTTTACAAAACTAATCAACTCAACTGTTCTATTGTTTTTTTGTCACTTTATGTTAAATCTATATATTACATGTATGAGATGGTGAAATTTAATTAGATTCTAATTATGTCTTATAAAATGGAGCACTTGGATTAATGTCGAATTAGAAGCCGACAAATCGGCTAATTACTTTACTTCCTCCTACCTAATAGTAGATAACTAGATATTTAGTGTGTGTTTAGTGTGATAACGAAATTAACCTTTATAAATGTAAACCTTTTCACCTTAAAAAGTTGGGTAACAAGAGTATATGCTCTTCATATACCCTGTAAGATTCTCCTTAATGATCAATTAAATATAG